AAAACTTGGCTGGGAGGGGCTAAGACTGCAGCCAAAGGACCAAAAAGATGTTAAAAGTGCGAAGGTGCTCGAGGCATATTATGAAAATGACATTAAAGTGACGACAGCAGCAAAGCGACTCAAGTCAGTTATTAAAGCTTATGGCGGCAGTTTATGGGCTTTGTCGCTGGCATGTGCCAGGGTTAAGTATGGATTTATTTCGCGCTGAAGCACGCCCATCGCACATTTCCAACAGACGGACAGACAGACAGGCAGACACTCGAACTGCTCTGGGCACTGAGTGAATCCAATTTCAGTCAAAGGTAGCCAGCCAAATGCACTTCGAAAATGCAAGCTCAGTAGCTATTTGATGGGATTGACTGCAGCGCTGAAGCTCATCGAGTGAGGCAAATAATATTTGCCTGGATTACGGAGCGAATACAATGCTTATTGAACAAGTGGAGAGCTTTAAATGTTAAAGGCTGTGAAAACTACTTATACAATGTATTTTTAACCAGCTGCATTTTGAATTGAAATTTCAAAAACTTCAGGATGAGTATATTATGCTGTAGAGATTAGATATGCAATACTTCTTTGGGAACTGCGCCAAGTGAATGATTGGTAAACACACTTCGTCACAGTCTCAGTTTGAAATTGATTAAATTTGACTTTATTTACCCTAGTTTATCTACCCATCTCAAATATCTGCGTTTGTATGCGGGCAACGTTTGCTCGCTTAGAAAACCCAGCTCGTGAATCGTTTCACATTTGCCTGCATGTGGCAGCGTGTTCTCGCGCAATCATAACCACATCTGAGCATAAATAATAAAAGAAAGAATTATTTATATTGTGTTGTTGTAACCACAAGGGTAACACAAAAGAATACGCACACTGTTAAAGCCGACCATTTGTGGCAGCAGCAGCAGCAAAAGTGGCCACAGCAGCATCGCCCAAAAGTCTGCAATTCTTAAACTGTTATACGGACGGCTTTAACCGACACACGGCGCATGACCAAAGAGTCGTGTGCGAAAAGTGAGAGATTGTGAGAGTGAGAGAGAGGGAGAGGGAGAGGGTGAGAGCACGCTGTTCTACTATGCCGCTTGCAGGAACACACAATGTTTTACAATACAAAAAGAAGAAGAGAGAGAAAAAAATAGAAAAGTGAACGAAAACAACAGCAACAACAACAACAATGACAACAACGACAGCAACAGCGCCGTACTTAAGGCCAAAACGTAACAACGGTCTGACCTTCACCATTAGCGCACTTTTTTATACCCTGTACGCAGCGAGAAGAGGAAGTGATGAATACTGCTTGTTTTAATCTGTATATATATACCCTATATACATATTTTGTAGTATATATAAACAAGATTAGCAGCAATAGGCGAGTCTATAAAAAATTTATAAAGCCTTGCTAGGTTTATATAATTATATATAAGATATTTGGTAGTCGTTCCTTATGTCAGTGCTCATCTTCCTTGTTTTATATGACTTTTGCTAACAGCAGTAGTATAAAAAGTAGTATCAGGCACTTTGTATGCGTGTCTTTGTGGGTGAGGGAACAGCATCTTACAAGACCGACTTAAATGCTTTCCGCTTAAGGGAGCAGCGCTAGAAGTTGAGGGGAAGTACGCCTGCCAGTTTATGTATGCCTGTTTGTGCATGCGTGTGCCTATGTTGCTAATAGCCCCACATACACTTGAGGCTCAGCTTAAATTACGTGTTTGTACTTCCAGTCCATATCACCGATGAGCAACTGCTGAAATTCTAGTCGCACTCTTTCTAATTTCATGTATAGGAGAGCACTTTAAAAAAATGAAATTGCAAGTGACTTGAATCCTGTTGAATACTGAGTGTCTGAATTGTGTATATACGGGATGTAGTTCCGGCTGTTGCATTAGCAGCTGCCTTACTATTCATCCATTTGCTGAATGAAAATATGCGCATGTTGAGGCAAAATATATTTATGCCGAATTTTCGAAGTATTCTTACACATACAAATCAGTTTGCAAATCCGCATAATCTTATGAACTATTTACACTTCGAGTGCCGAAAACTGCAATCAGATTACTTATCAAATTAATAATATTGATTATTGTAAAGCAAATGCGGGTTTAGTTTAATATTATCTGGCAAGCAGTTACAGAAAAAAAAGTATATAAAGCGATTAAGTATACAAAGAAAGCTCCTCATTCTGCTAGGAGAACTAAACAAATATTTGTAGTTAATGACCATAGCTAAATTCTGATGGAATATAACCATAAAACAATATTTATATGTATCCAAACATTAACATTCAACCTGTTTTCCATTTGCCTGATAAGCATTAACAAAATGTTGACTGGTTTGGCTCATTGGTTCGTTTTGGCATTGCTGAAATATGTTTGACATGATTGATGATACAATTGATTGAAATGTGATAAATTGTTGTCTGCTGCGGGAGACAGCCACAGCAGCAGCAGCAGCAGCAACAAAAGCAGTAAATACCAAAAAAAATGGGGCGAAAAAATGCATGGCAAGCGCTAAAGTAGAATCTCTTTCCATTATCGCATATGAATAACTACCACAAGGAGAACTCTTTACAGCTGTCGCAAGGATTTATATACTGAATATCTCTGGGTGTGTGAGTGGAATACGAGTACATCGATCTATGTTAGTGTCTGTCAATATTCTGTATTTTGGTGCCATTGGCATTCTTAACGAATACTCAAATTTGAGCCATTGCTGCAAAGGCAACAATCTTTCCCAGTCTTTTATATCTAACAGAAAAAGGAGTACTGGTCGGTCGGTAAGACTCGACAAAAGCGTTCTAACTTGTTTTAGTACGTGATTGACGCAACTGCCCGAAAGAAAACTTTTTTTTTTTTTCCGCTCACTAAGCTGATTTTCCCAGGAGCCGCATTGACTCGCTGGCAAAGGAACTCTGCTTATTTTTACATGTGGCCGAGAGCTGAAAATTTTCCTAAATGTGGCAGAAGCGCGTGCTCAACTCGTAAGTAGCAGTATACTATGGTATGGCTTACATTCGTTTTTTCTTTTAGCCAGCTTCCTTTGTATGCTAATGCACAAAGTGGGTAGCGAGGCATTTAATCAACTTTACGTGGAATGAATAAGTCTGCGCAAAATAAAAAAATAAAATAAAAATAAAAAACAAGAAACGAAAAGTTCCACCAGTATGGCACCTAAATGCCATTAGATTTATTAAAAATCCGTCTGAAGAATTAGATTTAATGTTGACAATAGCCTCCATCGGGGCTAAAGGTGATGCACTAAAGAAAATTATATAAAAAGAAATACTCAAATGGTGACTCTTGACTCGAGTCCCAAAGAGCATGGGAAAGTTTTGAGTAAATATTGCCCCATCCATATTGATTATATGCCATATATAGTATTTTTCACCTGCCTTTTGATATATGAATAACTATTCACAAAGCAGCTCAACAGTTTATAATAAACTTTTTGCTCCGCCAAACAACTTAAGGTTCGAATCCAAAAGCAATTGCTGTTTATGCCACAATATTGTGGCAGTTATTTACTTTACATATGTATATCGTATGTGAGTGTGTGGGCATGTATATTATATATATATATATATATATATATATATATA